AAAAAGAAAAAAAAGGCAAGTGTTAACATTTGTAAGATTCAGAAATAACAGCTTGCATTTCAGTAAGAACAAAAGGGAAAACGCTGTCTTCCGTATCTCAGCTTGTCCAGAGTACTTCCTGAAGTCCTTGGAGCTGAAGTGGAAGCACTCTGATCCTTTGTGGATGGCGGCAGTGACTTTTTAAATGTCTGATCCTATATCCTTCCTGCTTTTTTATATAAAAATGGTTAAACAACTACTACTAAAGTGTCCGTCTAAATACCAGTTTACTTCTGCACTCATTAAGTTAAAATAGTTTCACTTTATAAGTTTCCCATTACTTGGGAATCTTTAACTGGAACCAAGGAAGTCCTTGCTCATCTTTGATAAATAAATATCCTTGATCTGTTACCCCTCCTTTCTTCTCTTCCCTCCTTCCTCTTTTTCTTCGTGTCCATAACAAGGAGGACAAACTTCTCATGGTACTTCTCATAGCACTAGAATAAGACTCATGCTTTCATGCTTTCTGCCTCTTGTCCCATCCTCCAAATTAAAGAATTACTTCACTTTTCAGTTAAGTATGCTGGTAAATGAAAGTCAGCTTGTATTGAGTGCTGCTTTACATTAAATAATTATATTTTTAACAGTGTTAACTACCCAGTGCCAGTGTAAGCTGTTGGCATGCTGACTCTTACTGTGATAGCTGACTGATTACTAAAATAGCTTGCACGCTTTTCTTTCGTTTGAGGTATTTTCAGTAGCATAAAGCAAGCAGGTCAATAATTTTTATTAGTTGGTTTTTTTTTTTGGCTTTTTTTCTGGTAAAATGTGAACAAGTAATATGCAAAGGGCACTGGGATAAGCACAGTGAATAAGACAATCCTTGTGTTATCTGGGTTTCTACCTCGTCACCTTTGTGTGCAGTGCTCCAGTTCTGCACAGGTTGCAGTGGATTAATGCTCAACTGAAGTTACATGGCTGTCCTAGTTTCTTCATTAATGAAAACAGTGTAATAGTAGCTGAAGTGACACATGGGGCAGGGCTCTGGGTGACCCACGTTCTTGTGCTTCAGCCACGCTTTTTCTGGCTACCCTTTAAGGTCAGTATTTAGGATGAGTGGGATGCTGAGGGTACGCATGTGTTTTAGTCTGTTAAGACAGTAGCATCTCTTATTGCATTTATGTATGCCCTTTTCAATGACAGCAGTTCTATATCAGAAAACAATACTAGTGTAAATCTTTACAATGTGGCAACTGTCTCTTCAACTCAGTTTCCCAGATGAAAGCAGGGGGCAAACAACCTGTAATCATCTGGTTACCAGCTGGTGTAGCAGATAAATGAAACAGTTGTCTGCTTTGCAAGATGTAGATTAGGGCTGGGCAAGACTTCTTGATAAATAGTAAATTAGGCAATGGCTGGTTGGAAAGCGTTTGTTATCATCAGGTCACTTGTGAATTTGCTGACAGCAGTGAGCAGCTCTAGATGGAAATATTTTTTCAATGTTTAGCTCATAATCTTGAGTCTCTCTCCCATAAAATGAAGACTGTCATGAAAGAGAAACGATTGAGAAGTTTGCAGAAGTTTCTTAGGGTCTGGGTTTGGTCCCTCCTTCTGCCTCTGTCACTCTGGAACATCCTCCACCATTTTTCAGCTTCTGGGTATTCAGGGTGCTCCGTGCAGCGTGGGCTGTTGTGCTGACAGAAGGCTGTGTCAGAGGTCCATGTGTCAAAAGGGCTCACTCCCAAGCCCAGAGCCTTTTTGTTTTTAAATGAGATGCTTCACTTGAACTGAGCAAGAGAATGGCATGAAGCTGATTGTTAGTCTTCACAGGCAATAGCTGCATCTGCTTTAATAAATGTTTAAAAAAATTTTTAAAAAAACAACACAAAACCACAACAAAATCTTCATACTAGGTGGGAGGGAGCCTGAGCCAGAAAGGTGAGAGTGCTCCTCCCCAATACTGCGGCATTCATGTGGGATATGAGGGTTCAAAGTTCTTTAGGCAAAAAGACAACCCAGTTCTCCAGCAAGTGATGTATATCCTGTGTGCTGTGGGATAAAAGGGGCTGCTGAGCATCACGTCTGCCTCCTCTGCTGCTCCTGCTGAAGAATCTCGCTTCTATTGCTTTTCTTTCAAGTGCCTAGAGGCGCACATTTTCATTTCAGGTCTAACAAGATGTTGTTAAAAAAACCCAAACAACAACAAAAGCTTTTTCTGCAGAAAAACAAAAGAGGAAAATAAGGACTTTTTGTAAGTAGAAAAGTTACATATTTACATAGCAGTTCGTGATGTCAGTATCTGGAATTAGGCACCGTACTGCAGAACTGAGCTCTGAGGCTGCTAGTTGTCAAGTTTATTCATTGCTAGCTTTAAAACATATAAAAAGCATTGGAGGTTTGGAGAAAAGAGGCAGGAGAAACTGGGGGTGCCAGAAGACGGAAGAGCATTGCTAGAAAGAAGTGTAAATTCTTTGCATAGTTTGCTTAGTTCATATGAGCGAGTTTTGTGTCTCCTCTTTAGTGTAAGAACAGAAATGCTCCCTAAAGCTGTGAATGACGGAGTTTATTTTAGGCTGTGAGACTAAAAGGGAGCAGTCTGGGTAATTCAGAGATAGAAGTGTTGTCAGAGCTCCTTAAAGTAACGGACAGTGTTGGCAGAAGAGCAGCTGGGTGCGAGGTGACGGGAGGCACTGCAGCAGGAAATCAGGATGTTTGCGGAGCTCTTCAACTTCAGTGAGGCTTTGAGGCAGCTTTGTAGTTTTTCATTTGGGGCTCTTCCCTCCATTATTTCTAGGGTTTTTTAAGGTAGAGAATCTGGATCATTTATGAAGAAAATTATATAATGTAATTTTTCTTTATGCTGTTGGCAGCCCCGAAGGTCTCTTTTGGCCTTATTTCTAGAATCTCAGCAGTTAGAATCCTGTTTGGTCTCTTGTGTTCTCTGAACTTTGGTCTGTATTACACTTTGAAGGCATCTGGGAAGGTAATTAGGAGAAGTAATTCTGTTTGGTAGGCTTAAGTCTTCTGTGTAGACATGCTGATGCTGTAGTGGCTCCTGGGGAACAAGGCAGGAGTCAGGGAACACAGAAATTGAGACGCTGCAAAAACATCTTCTGTCAGATATTGTGTTTCACATCATCTGTAGCTATGTGGTGCTTTTAACTAATGAACAGAGGTTTGAGCTTAGCACTACTCGTAGTGCAAATACACAAGCTATATAACTTTTGCTATTTCTGTTGATACTCATTGAGAAGAACTTTGAAAGCATATGTAAATGTCTCAATCTATTTGATGTTTGGGGGTGGTCTCAGCATGTTTTCTGATGTTGTCCTTTTAAAATAGCAGTAATGAGACACCCTAGAATTTCGTTTTGATGAGAAAGTAAATGTATGTTCCCCTGAATGCCCTCTGCTAAGTGTTTTAAGGTTATAAATCTCATAATCCAAAGATAAAGGTCAAGAGAATAATCCTGACGTGCAATTTGAATCTTTCTTGGGCTTGTTTCTGGAGGAGAAGGTATCTTCAGTAGCATTGCAGTCTAATAATTTTGTCGATATCATTGAGGTGAATTGAGGTACCTTTCTTGGAAATGTTAGTCAAATGCTACTTGTTGATTTGGGTGAAGGAGTAATAGTGTAATATCCTATTTTAGACTGTTGTCAGGTAGCAGTCCCTTGTGGCTTTACACTTTTCAGTGTTGTTTGTTCAGAGGATAATTGAATATCCTGATCGGAAGGGACCAACAAGAATTATTGAGTCCCACTTAGTTTTGGGGGAAGGGAGGCTGGTTGTTTCTCCATTTTTCCCTGAACAGTTTAAAAATAAAACCGAAATGGAGTAAGGAACATCCTCATGTCTGAGACAGCTGCAAGTGTTCTAAATGTCAGTGATGCACCTTGTGCCTCAGCTTTTGTGCAGCGTGCCTGGAGTCTTTGTATCAAGAATGATGTAGGTTTATGCCTCAATAGCCAGCGACTTCACGCAAAAATTAAAACCATACTTAAGATGGAAGGGCTGGAGGTGAGTGTTTGCTTGTTGTGTAGAAACATAAACTTACTTGTGATCAAGAACACTTTGTGTCAAGATGTTCAGCTAAAATGACTTCTTATTTTTTAAGCCTACCAGTAAAGAAAAGAGCAGGTGTTTGTGTAATCTGCTTTGATTTGCCTGCTTTCTGGGGGGAAAAAAATAAGTATGATTTTCTTCTCTATAACCACTGTTTATCTCAAGATTGGGAGTCTCTTCTAGAGTTTAGAAGATTGATTACCCAGGAACCATGTGCACTTTTCCAACTTCCTTTAGCTTTTGATGCTTCTGTATTGATACAGTGGTACAGGACGGAAAAGAAAGCTTTCATCCCCAAAAGTTGCATGTCTTCTTGTTAGCTTACTGTCTAGATTAATACAGAATTGCTTGTTAATAGAAATATTTCTTTGTAATGGTTGAACTCTTGATATGTACAGCTTACATTAGGAGTTCTGTTCTGCTTCAGTTCATTTGTGAGATTCTTGAATATGAACTGGAGATGACTTGGGATTTGTGGAAAGAATAACCTTTGCCCAGGTAGTCCTTTACATTTGGAGAATATTCCTAAATTTGCTTGTTTTCAGAAATACTTCCTGGGTAGTTTCTTGCCATCGTTGTTAACGACCAAAGTGTAGCCAGGTGAGAACTAACATGACACAGGTGTTTTTCCCTTCTCTAAAGGCTTCTTTATTGATTAATGTCTGACGTGAGGCTTTTCCTGTTGTCAGGAGACGTTAAGTGCAGGATGTTAAGCATCCTATCCTATCTCCTACCAGCAGAACTTTGTTCTGTGTATTAAATATTCTGCTAGTCTTTATTTTCTAACATATTACATGAGCAGCATTCCTAGAGCAGTCAAAAGAATTGCAACTTAGATACGTTAATTTATGTGTTAGTCCTCTCGTTACCCTAAAAGGAAGGGCACTGTTACTGACATTCCATGCTGTCCATAGTGCTCCTGTGATCGTGTCTTTCTTTTTTCCTTCCTAAAACAGCCCACTGTTTGTAACGTGGAAGATTGGTCGAGATAAACGATTGCGTGGATGCATAGGTACTTTTTCTGCCATGAACCTGCATTCAGGACTCAGGGAGTACACACTTACTAGGTAAGACTATGTTTTCTGCAGCTTTGACTTATGTATTTAAATACTCTGATAGGGAGATGATGGGTGTGTTTTTGTTTGTTGGTTGTTTTTTTGGCTGCATCACTGTACAGATTGATGTAAACTTCTATCTCCTTTTTATGCTAATTATTGCCTATTATTTGACTATTTGGTGTCATGAGGTTATGATTTAGTTTAAAAACTGTAACTTGAGCCTTTTTTTTACTTTATTGGTTTGGAAAACTGTTCTCCAGTAACTTACTGCAACTCACTGCTGTAGTATTTTTCCCCTGTTTCTAAACAAATTTAAGCTTAATAGTTAGTGGTAGAGCAGAAGACCAGAAAGTCAGATTTTGGGATTATCCTATTCACACTTCTAAAACAGCAGGTATTCTCACCTCTTCTCCATCAGGTGCTTCCAATCAGCATTCCAATTTAATGCTACAAATTTCCATTACATGTTACTCTTCAGATACATCCCAGCCCCTGAGTGGGAAGCTTCTGGATGAGGGAGGTAAGTGATGATAATCCTTCACTCCCCAGCAGCATAATCCTTCATTTTTTTTGATCTACACCTAAATTCATTCACCTTAATATTGTTCCATTTTCTCTGCATAGAGTGAAAACTAATAAGTTGATCACTAGAGCTAGTAGCAAGCTTTCTACTTGTTGTTTTTTTTTTTTTTCTAAGAGTTTTCTTTATTTTCTAAAGAATCGATGGAATTTGGTACTCTCAGTTATAGTAGACTGTTCATGGTGCTATAAAGTAGAAACTATATATTTAGTCGTTTGAAGACCTCTGAAAGGTCACCACTTAAAATAATTGGTGCCTCTCAGTAGCTTTGGATTGGAGGCTTTCCCCTGTTATGAGGACTTCCTCTGCTATTAAAGCATCATGTAAATCTCAATATGAAGTAAGATTAGTAGGGGGAATGTTCTTTGTTTCTTGTGCCACTGGTCTGTTTCAAGCTGTTTATTTTATGCTTACTTCTGCTCAGCTTGAAGAAATCAACTGCTGGAGTTCCTTGTAAACTTCTGGAAGACGTAGTTATCTTTACTGTGTTGGTTTTATTGTGTGGTCTGGAATACTTGTGTGTTCTTTAAAACCTTGGGAGGCAAATTAATCAGTGAGAAGAAGCTTGTGATCTCAAAGCAATTCTTCTGTTGAAGGTTAAATGCCTTACAGTCTTAGATATTAGTGAGTCAAAAACAGAAATAACTCAGAAATGACCATTGAAATGTAAAGTTCCTGTTTGAATGTTCCCAAACCTGTTATTTTATCTCAATTGTTATTTAAAAAAATAGAAAGCTAGGGATACCTGAGAGCAGTTTCCTTCGTGATAATAGTCTTTCCAGCTACAGAGCTTCCAGCAGAGTATTTGAGGAGTTACAGAAGCAACTTTGACATACCTCAGAACTTTGAGAGCTCCACAAGCCTTCCTAGGAGGCATCAGAAACCAGGAGATGTAACTTGGGCAACAGATTCTTGGAGAAGGTGCAGCAATTCCTGAAAGTGAAGAAAAACTTCTTCAGGCAAGGCAGAATTAATCAGCAATGTAGGTAGTGTGTGAATGAACTGTCCATTTCAGAAAGTGCAACTGGACCAAAATTTTCAGTTGAGAATGTAGACAGAGACTCTTCTTATTTTACTTTGATGCTGAAAGGTACTTTTCTTCAGTTACTCCAAGGGCATGGCACTGCTAGACTGAACCAAATTGTCTGTCTTTTCATTCTTAACCTTCTTCAGCACTCGGCATGGGATTGTGACCCAATTTTTGGTGAGAAAAATAGTGGATTCCAACAGATGTTCTGACATGTCCTGGTGCTTAGCAATCAAAATATCAACGGTTTCTGTCAGGCAACATTTTCTTACCAATATGCTAATAGTGTTTAGGATCACAATAAATAAAACTTTCCTTAATTCTAGTAGTGATCTCTAATTGTACAGCATATACAGTGTGTAGTGTATATGCATCTCTACCTGCACACAGTGGAGTAGCTTCTGTCAGTGACGTAGTGACGGCTCTCCTGAAGTTAACAGTTTCCTTCTGGAGGTGGAGATGCACTCAAATTTAGAAAACCTTTTTTGGCTTATGTGCAAAAATGCTATGATGTGTAACCAAGGGAGTCTCTCTTCCCCATTTTGAGCTGTGTTGACTGTGGCAGTGGTATTACCAGTACATTCTAAACAGGAAACTTATGTAGAGTGATTCATCATTAATTGGATGCATCTTGCTAAGTATGAGGAGAGATGAGAATACCCATAGTTTAAAAGTGGTAATACTGTATTCCTAAATAAATAAAATCTTAGAGATCGATTTTCTCTGCATATCAGTGTAGCAAGGGAAGAAATATTATTATTAAAATCCTTCGCAGCAATTTGTGAAGACTCAGTTTTAGTCACTTTAAAATAAATTTACTAAGTGATTAGTTGGATAAATACCTATCTTTTTTCAAAACATTTTACACCATTGAATAATTCGGATATAAGAAGTTCATCATGGGCAAAATAGTCCTTTAGGCTGAATGTGTGAATATCCACCTGAATGCATAAAAGTGAACCAATCCAAATTATGAAGAATACCTTGTGTTTTACAGCTCCTCGAAAGAAATACACTGAGCTTGGTAGCAGGTTACCACAGAATTTCCTCATGGGTTGATAAATTATTTTTTCATGTATTTTGTTCAGCAATAAGACTTAGGTTTTTGTATTAAAGTTTTGAACTCCTGCTCTATTACGCTTCGGGCATTGAACAAAATGGTTTCATTTACCCTGTACTTTTTAGTTTTGTTTTTCCTGCCACTTGCATATA